TTGGTGGGCTAGATCTTCAGAGTTCTCAGGTAGGAGAGGGAAACACAGCCACTCGCTGGTCAAGCAGGTGGCAAGCATTTTACAGAGAATCCCGGAATTAAAGTCTCCCACTGTGGCGAGGCATGGTGGCTGATACCTGTAATCCCAGCACTTTGGGAGGCCAAGGTGGGAGGATCACTTGAGGCCAGGAGTTCAAGCCTAGCCTAGGACCTTGTTTCCACCAAAAAAAAAAAAATTTTTTAAATCAGCCAAGTGTGGTGGTGCGTGCCTGTGGTACCAGCTACTCAGGAGGCTGAGGCTGGAGAATCACTTGTGCACAGGAGTCCCAGGCTGCAGTGATCAAACCACTGTACTCCAGCCTGGGCAACAGAACAAGATCTGTCTCTGAAAATGAAAAAACAATTAAAAAAAAAAAAAAAGTCTTCCATTGACATCAATTGACTGCCCTTTCAGTAAATGTAGAAGCCAAATGTAAAAAGAGCAGTAAGTGAGCACCAGTGTGCAGTCAGCATAGAACCCTCAGCAGTGAGTTCCCTGGACCTGGGAAAAGAGGAACCCAGACCAGAACAGAGTTGACAGGCTTAGCATCGTCCTGGACAGGAGCTGCCACCAGTACTCACAGGTGCGGCATATACATACTGCTGCATATGGGTTACACCATTTGCCTTCCAAAATGAGGTCTCAGCCATCCTCCCCTCCACGAATTGCAAAGTACCTGGGCTAGGAGGACCTTAATTGTCTAATATGATCAAGATTCTGGGCTCAGAGCACGAAAGCCAAACAAAATCATTTCAGCAAAAAATTAAGAGTGATAATATCAAGTATTGCCAAGAGTATGGGAAATAAGTCCCTCATAGCCTATTACTAAAAGTGTCAACACATGAAGAATTTTTGGAAGGCAATTTGGGGAGAAAAAAAAAAACCCTCAAAATTTAAGACATGCATGTGCTATATGACCTGCATTCCTGCAGTTAGTAACATAACCCATAAAAATATTAGAAGACATTTATAAAGATACATCACAAGGATGTACTTTGCTGCATTGTGTCTAATTTCAAATAATGGAAGTAAGCGATGGATGTATCAAGAAGACTAGATAAATTTCTGTAACACAGTGATCTCCTATATATCTGCTAAAATAAGGAGAACTATAAATGTCCGCACATGTGTGTGTGCATAGTGTGACTCCATTTCTATTGCTTAAAAACCTCATACATGTATATGTAAATATATGTGTGACTAAGCATGAAAAAAATCTGCAAATATACCCTCCAATCTGTAACCAATTATTGCTTTTAGGAAGTGATACTAGATTGGGGGAAGTGGGTTTCACTTTTTCTGTATACTCCTCTGTAGTTTTTTAATTTAAATGTGTACTATTTTTACTTTAAAAAAAAATTTCAAACAGGTAAAAATGATTTCTTGGGAACTGTTTCTCTTTTACTTTTTTTTTTTTTTTGACAGGGTCTCACTCTGTGGTTAAGGCTGGAGTGTAGTGGCGCAATCGCATTATGCTCTGTCTTAATCCCCACTGCAGCCTCAACCTCCCAGGCTCAAGCAATCCTCCCACCTCAGCCTCCCAAGTAGCTGGGACCACAGGCACGTGCCATCATGCTCAGCTAAGTGTTATATTTTAAGTACAGACAAAGTTTTGTGATGTTTCCCAGGCTGGTCTTGAACTCCTGGGTTCAAGTGATCCACCCAACTCGGCCTCCCAAAGTGTTGGAATTACAGGTGTGAGCCACTACCCAAGCCCACCCCCACCTCCCCACCAAGAACTGTTTTGCTCTGGACATGCTTCTTCACATTAAACATTTACTTACGTGTTTCAGGCTCAATAACTGTGATTGATTAAAATTGGGCTTTCTTAGCTAACACCTAATCCAGTCTGGATCCCTTCAGATTAAGTCTAGGTAATCCTGATTGGCTTTTGGGTTTCCCTGAGTGTTTTTAATTTCAATTTAGCATCATGTCCTTGAAACGTTCTGTCTTTTAGGCCCTTCTCTTTAATTTGCCTCAATCAAGCATGTGGTTAACCAAAACACTAGATTCCTTTTTATTAATTTGCTGCTGAAGCATGTCACCCCAATTCTGTATCAAATCAATTATCTGTTTTAATGTAAAGATAGATGATTACATTTAGTTTTGTTAAATTTCATCTTGTAGATGTTGGTACAAGTCCAGTCTGTTAAAACAATTTTAGATCTTCACTTTTTTTGCACTAGGTAGTCCTCTAAATTTTACATTATCTAAAAATTTATCTCTGGGGAGATCATAAAATTTATAGACAGCAGGCACAAGGAAGTCTTTTAGACAGTATCCTTTTATTGTTTTTGTTGTTATTATTATTATTATTTTAGAGACAAGGTCTCACTCTGTCCCAGGCTGGAGTGCAGTGGCACAATCATATGAGAGCTCACTGCAGCCTCCAAATCCTGAGCTTGAGGGACTCTCCTACCTCAGCCTCCCAAAGTGTTGAGATTACAGGCATGTGCACCACACCCAGCTATTCTTTCTTTCTTTCCTTTATTTCTCTCTCTCTCTCTCTCTCTCTCTCTCTCTCTCTGTCTCTCTCTTTCTCTTTCTTTCTTTAGAGATCTTCCTGTGTTGCCCAGGCTGGTCTCAAACTCTTGGCCTCAAGCGTATGAGCCACCACACCCAGCCCTCCTTTTTAGTCGAAAATGACCAAAACCTACATGAACCTAAGCCAACAGGAACTTTAACAGATGGAGACTGAGCTATCTCACTGACTCCAAGATAGGCAAGGTGTTGGCCTGAGAGAGGCCGGGCAGGAGACAGGCAATCCTCCCTCCCTCCTGATCTCAACCTCTTTATTCTTTGCCTCAATCCCCAACAACCCGTCTCACTCTCCCAACACTCCCTCCACCCCAGTCCCCTCAGCCCTCACTGTAGTACATGACCACAGACCTACCTAGTGTGGGCCAAGGTAAAGCACTTGTGCCGCTCCCAGCTAAAACTCTTTACACTGGATATGCATTCAGCCCCCAGGCCTCTGCCAGACTAGCAGTTTCATTTATTCCGACTGACTTCCCTTCCATTTTACCCCCAGGGCCTTGAGAACCATCCCATATATCAGGGTTTATTCACCTTTCCTCTGGCCCCAAACCAAAGCCCAATTTCCGTTTCCACAAGGCCGCAGTTTGGGTTAGGTGTCCACCCTGGTCCAGGCAAAGGTGGCAAGAGGACAAGTTCATGGAGAATAAACATGGCTTCCCAGAGCCATCTTCTGTGGCTGGGTGCAATTCACAAAGAAAGAGGTATATAATATTGACAACTACCTAATGAGTAGTTATGCCTCAATTTGTTTACTATAGAGATATCAGTAGATACCAACTCCAAAAGATATATGGATCAGGTCCACCCAAGGTCAAAGTAATGGAAGGCTTTGCAGTGGGAAAGTTGTCAGAATCAAAATGGCGTCACCTATGTCCGCCTTAACAAAACAGAGCCAGGAGGTCATCGGGGTAGGGAGTGGCTCTCAGACATGATTTGCCTGATAACAGGAACTATCACAGGAAATTTTATCAAACCACAGTTTGCGACATGAGTCAGTCACATAGGGACAACTAGCAGCTTGTACAAGAACACTTGCCTGAGACACTGTCTCCACTAAAGGACTGACAACTACTATCACTATCAACTACTTACAACTACTTGTAACCAATGTTCTGTTTGTTTCAAGACAATCTACATGTACTCTTTTGCCTTTAAAACTTCCCCTTACCTCAGCCTCCCTGGATGTGCCTATGATTTGTCATAGCATGTGTATCCTGCAATTTCCAATTAAACTACATATTTTTAGAGAGCTTCTCTTTGTTATTTGGGTTGACAGGAGATAAAGAATAGAGTAAAATTTAGTGGTTAAGTACTTTTTTTTTTTTGATGGAGTCTGGCTCTGTCACCCAGGCTGGAGTGCAGTGGCATGATCTTGGCTTTTTGCAACCTCCGCCTCCTGGCTCAAGCAATCTTCCCGCCTCAGCCTACCGGGTAGCTGGGACCACAGGCACACACCACCATGCCTGGCTAATTTTTTGTATTTTTGGTAGAAACAGGGCTTTACCATGTTGCCCAGGCTGGTCTCAAACTCCTGAGCTCAAGTGATCCTCCTGCCCAGGCCTCTCAAAGTACTGGGATTACAGGTGTGAGCCACTGGATGTGGCCCAGTTAAGTACATTTGACTTTTGAGTCAAACTAGGGATTACATCCTAATTCTACCACAAACCAGGTATTTTAATCTCATGAGAATTACTAAATGGCTTTATGCCTCAGTTTCCTCACCTATAAGATGGCAAATATAATAGCTAATGAAATTATATATCACACTATTTAACTTTAGCAAGCATTTAATAAATGACAACTCTCATTACTATTATTTCATCACCATCAGTATTAGTATGAAGAAATGAAGCTGTAACAGTGTAATAAAATGTAGTGTTTGGCATGATACATATGTTTCAACCATAACCTTATTTGTGTGTATATACATAGAGAGAGAATATATAAAATACAGGGCATACATAGGATATCCTCTAAATATGATATCATACATATATACATGATATATATGATATATGGAATAGCATATAACCTGGAACCTGTATAAGTAGCATAATAGGATTTATAAGATAATAAACATATAGGATAAATATATTAGAATATATAGGGTAATACAAATACATACATATGCTATATATATATCTATAATATATATGATATATGGGATAGTATGTAACCTATAACCTGTAATGTAGCATAGTAGGGTTTATAAGATAATAAATATATTAGGACATATGGGGTAATACAAATATAACTTTCTATAATTGGCTCCTTGAGCATGGGGCACTGCCTGCTGCCATGTCTCTGTGAGCACCTAAGGGTTATACACAGAGGGGCCAAACACACGACCCTTGAGAAATGTCAGCCTTGTCATGTAGTGGCATGAGGGGAAAACACTCTGGAAAAACAGTCCTTTGTTTAAAATAGAAACTTTGAAGGGAGCCAAGTTAGCACATGACAAATTACTGAATATCCCCTTCTCCTGGAGGGAAAAAAAAAAAAACCCTTCATTTCTGAAATGAGAAAGGGAATTGCTGGTACCAAAATTCACATTTCCTTTCTGGTGGAAATTCTCCAGCCAAGCTTGGCGCTAACGGAGTAGGCGATTTCACTTCATCGTCACCTCACAAAAGACTTCCAAATTCACTGCGGCAGACACCGCAAAATAAAAATGTTAAGTACATCCTAGCTGGGAGGGGATTGAAGCCTCCAGGCTCAATCAAAGGTTTGCAATAATAGGATTCATTTTAAAAAAAAGGACAGATGGGTTTAGAAAATGTTGCAGTGAAGACTGGAACGAGATGAGCTCACAGCACCAGCCTGTCTTTTGTGGACCTGCACAATGATCCCTGAGCCAGACTGGATTAGCATGCCTCACGACTAGGGGTCCAGAGACAGAGGCCTCCGGTTCCCAGGCACTTAGGGAAGAGGAGGCTGAAACGATGCATCAGATTTACAGCTGCAGTGACGAGAACATAGAAGTTTTTACCACCGTGATTCCTTCTAAGGGTGAGTGAAATTGCCCTTGACTGTTTCCTTAACGTGGCATCTTAGGCAGGAGGGGAAGGACAGTCACGTGCTGCCTTACTACGGTTTATCCTCAGGTCTCTGGGGTTCAATGGACTCTCAGTTTTGATGGTATTTGATTTTCTGGAGGGGGGAAAGAGGCACCAGAATAAACATCAATCACTGAGAAACAATCTGTCAAGGGGAAGACGAGAGCAGCTAAATACTCCCTGTTTCATTTAATTCAATACCGACAGTCCAGTACATCAGTGGAAGTGACAGCAAGCCATTGCTACAGGCACAGATGAAAACAAAATCTCAGGGCAGCTAGATAGCGACTTTCATTTTTTCCAATGAGCAAGTGGGTTCTGAAATGAGAACAGCTGGCTTAAAAGTATGATTTCTAACTGTGCCATGCAATGTGTGGAGAAATAGTCTCAGCAGCAGCTTGAAGTCCGATGAAGCAGTGAGAGAGTGCCCTGACCCCCGGACTGGCCTCTCCACAGAACCCAGGGCCACCTTGCAAACTTAACCTGAAACTAATGTTGCCAGAGAATGCAACATTAGAATCTTGACTTTATAAGCTCTTGTGGTCCTCAGTGAATGGTGTTAAAGGCTTTGGGTGAGAGTTTCAATGACTCCAAATGTCTGGTTCCTGGGCAGTCCCCTTACCACCTCCTAAGCATGGCCCCCTCTCCTGCCGCCTCTGCTCTCTGCCTGTGCTCCTGTCTTGCCCCCTCCTAGCTACCCCCATGACTCAGGCTTAGCCCCTGGTCTCATTGTCAGCCTTGAATGAAGTGGGCTGGGTGTTTGCTGGTGTTGTGAGTCCACATTCAAACAATTCCTTTCTTCCTCTGTGTCAGCCAGCCGACTGGGCCATTGCACAGCGGGGGAGGGAGAGTCTCCGTTTGGCCACAAAGAGCCAGCCTGCAGGACATAAATTAAGCTTTAGACATTTACTGCCAGATTGAGAGAGAAGGAAAAAGCTGGGAGTCTGCTGCCCACGTGCAGGAGTTGGAATTCCCTTTGGAGACTCTGAAAGTCCAAGTTGACCCTTGGAATCAGCAGTCCCGCTTTTGGGTGGAACTCTTACCCCTGGATGTTCACAGTGGCATTGATTCTAAGGGGCACAACTGAAAATAACCTAAGTGTCCATGAAGAAGGGAATGGTTAAACTGTGGTGCCGTCATGCTATGGAATACTACGCAATGTCAACAGGAATAAACTAGATCAATGCGTGTGGACATAGGTAGATCTCAAAGCATAATGCTGAGTGCCAAGCAAGCAGGCTGAAAAATTATATATGTATGATAGCATTTATGTAAATTTGGAAATATAAACCAATGCTATACATTGTTTATGAATATGTATCTAGAGAAAAACACAAAAACATAGACCGGAAACATACAGATAAAATTAGTGATCTAGTAGTCCTGAGAAGGTAGGGAAGAAATTAGGGAAGGGTAGGAAGAGAATTAAAACATTGCCTCTGATTTTGTATTTCTTGTATATTAGAAGAAAACAAAGTAGAAGCAAATATGAAAACATTATATGGTTTATTTTCTATCATTTATTTCCATTTACAAAATTTTTTTCAAACTACTTATTTATTTATTATTATACCTTAAGTATAATAACCACCCCCCTCCATTTACAAAATTTTTAAAGCAAGAAAAAGTCAAAGACAAAGTGGTTAAGGGACTGCTGCCACTTCCATACTGTGTGACCTTGGGCAAGCTACTTAACTTATCTGGGCCTGAGTTTCCACTGCTGTAAATGAGAGAAACAGAACTTACCTTCCAGGATTATATGGGTAATAAGTGTATAAATATATAAACCATCCAGAATAGTAGCTTACATGTAGTAAGTACCATTAAATACATCACTTACAAAGTGATTTCTATTTTTATTTTGTATTTAGAATAATCAACATGATCAGTTAAAGATAAATATTTAATCCTATCTTTTTTTCCTTGCCATTTTCATTCATGGCCACATCCTGGTATTAAACCAGGTATTCACTGGTATTCATGGACATTTTTCACTGCTCAGGAAGCTGTTCTCTAGAAAAGGAGTACTGGCCATTTTGCATTAGATCACAGATGGATTAAGTTTACGTCTTCTCATTTCTTGCTTTGCCTCATCTGTCCTCCAAAGCCTCCAAGCAGAGGGCTGTCCATGAGAGAAAATGGCACTAGCAGGTAGTCACCCGCATGTGAGAGAGTGATAACTCTTCATTGCATCCCTATCCCCTCACTGTAGAAATAGAGTCACTAGACTTTATCTAACAAGGGCACCTTCCTGGTATGCCGTTTCCCAAAGCCTGCAGATTAGCCATGCTTAAGGATGTTCAGAAACCAAACCTTGCCCAGCACAGCCTGGTGGTTAGGAGCGTGGGCCTCAGGTATCCTTATCTATACAGGGGAGTTCACAAAGAGTAGCTACCTTGTGAAGTTGCTGTAAAAGAGAAAGGACAGTTAATGGGCCACAATGCTGGGCACACA